CAGGAATGTGTAACTAGTTTTGCTTGTAGCAAAAGGGTCGCTTTGGTTTGCTCTGTGTCAGAAAAGTATGTTTTAAAGGTCTGGTGTTTATAAATCTGCTATGCATAAAGAGGTTTTTCTATAAATACAGAATTGGACTTTTGGCCTTTTTGCCTGACTCGTGCTATTTACTGAGTTTTCTCCAGCAACCTCTGTAGCGACTGGTATTCTTTGACCAGTATTTTGCCTTCACAGATTCTTCTTTCCTAGTGAAGTCTTTACTTAGCTCATTCTCTTCCACTGGAAGCTGGAGGTGGGAGTAATTTTATTCAGTTACACTTACAGTTTTGATTTTACATCCTTTGCACATACTCCGTGCCCTTGCTATTTTATTTCCTCTGAAAGTTCACTTTTTATAGCTATCCATTCTAACTCATGTTCCTTTGAATTCAGTTCCCTAACTACTTCCTTTTGAGCTGTATTTGAAAGGGCTTGAAGGTTCAAGCCTTTTCTTTTTATTCTTTTTTTGTATTAATTCATCTCTCTCTAGAATTTCACTCGTCTCAAAGTAGGTCTTGGTTATGATTCTGTAAGTCAGGGGATACAGTTAATAGAGCCTTGTCTTATTTCTGTAAAAAATATAAGTGTTTTAACATTGTAAATTATTAAATACTTAAAGTATATTTCTTTCTGTTGTGGTTTAACTCAACAGGCAGCTAAATACCACACAGCTGTTCGCTCACCGCCCCCCCGCCCAGTGGGATGGGGGAGAGAATCAGGAGGAAAAAAAAAAGTAAAATTCGTGGGTTGAGATAAAGACAGTTTAATAGGACAGAAAAGGAAAGGAAAATAATAATAATAATAATAATGATAAAAGAATATACAAAATAAGTGATGCACAATGCAGTTGCTCACCACCCGCTGACTGATGCACAGCCAGTTCTCAAGCAGTGGTCACCCCTCCCCCGGCCAACTCCCCCCAGTTTATGTACTGAGCATGACGTCCCATGGTATGGAATATCTCTTTCGCCAGTTCGGGTCAGCTGTCCTGGCTGTGCCCCCTCCCAGCTTCTCGCTGGCAGGGCATGAGAAGCTGAAAAGTCCTTGACTAGTGTAAGCACTGCTTAGCAACAACTAAAACATCAGTGTGTTACCAACATTATTTCCATCCTAAATTCAAAACACAGCACTACACCAGCTACTAGGAAGAAAATTAACTCTATCCCAGCCAAAACCAGGACACTTTCATTAAAAATATCATGCTATTCACTTTGAATCCTGATTTATATTGTTATATTTATTATTCATAGAAAGGTATGTTTGTAGCACCGTTTCCTATGCAGTACTGAACTACATGATCTAACTTCCCATCAAAGCACTACAGATTTACACATAGTAAATTAAAAAATAAATAATAGCTTTCTATAGTTTCTCTTCTATTCTGTATTTTTAAGTAATGTTGATCCATGTCTTTTATTTACTGTACAATCCCTTTCCATTTTTCTTGATTCTGCTGTTCAACTGCTGGTAACACATCAGTAAATTCTGGCTGGCTGATCTTTTTCACCTTTCTTACTAAAAACAGGATAATCGTAAGTGCCTGCTTTCCTTCCAGTATAAATTAAAAGGAATTGGAGATATTCTTGAACTTGTTGATAGCATATTTTCTGAGGATAAAACATTTACCACAAGAACTGTTATACTTTCACTTTAGAGGCCATGTGAGAAGAAAAAAACGTATGTGGGATTATATCTTCAAATAACAAAAGGAGTACATTTGGTTTGAGTTTTAACTATATTTTATTTAATTATATCAGTTTATCCTTAATTCCACCTGCCTGGATTTTCAGCCTCCTTGGACAAACTTGGTCTTTCTTTCCAAATTTCTATTTTGTTAGGAGAGAAAGGCCTTCTTATCTTTTAAACAAATGCTGCTGAAAGTGAGGAAATACTAATGCTGGCTTAGAACGATCTGTCATTTATCTTTTGTCATCAGTCTTTGCCTAATATTATCTTTGGCATTTCTGATTGATTTAGTGTCTGACCCATACCACAGTAATGTTTTATACATGTTTGCATTAATTCTGGTCTTTCAAATATTACAGCTGTGGTCTCCTCATAAGTAAAGACTGGCAATTCTGCATCCTGCTCGGTTATTTACATCTTCATATCCTATTGCCACCTTCAAAAATACAAAAAGCTCTTGGCCTTGAAAGTATTTAATTTTGCTGATGAAAAAGGTGAATGGGATCTGGAAGCATATTCTTTAACTTCTGATATTCAGCTCCTGTAGAATTTCTTGCATGCCGTTATAGATGGGAGTGAGATTTCTTTTGAGTGAGAGAAAGCCTGACTATGCAGACATGCTATTCCTGTCTCTTAAAGGTAGCAGAATTGCAAGGCAATGTCAGGTTTAAAAAGCAGATTCTGCACAGCACCTCTGTGAATACCTTTTAGGTAAAAAGATATGCTGTTTTTTCCCGCCTGTGGTTCTCCATAACACTCAGAAAAGTTTGGTTATAGAAAGTGGGTTTGGTTGTTTTCTTGTGAGATCTTCAAAGCAGCAGTTGTAATGAAAATGTTTACAGTATGCTTTGCCAAGATATTTGTAAAGCTTATAGATTTCTGGAGATAAAAACCTAGGACTTGACTTCATTACTCTCAGAAATCATAGAATCATAGAATAGTTTGGGTTGGAAGGGACCTTTAAAGGTCAAAAATCCCCTCTTCTTCATCTCTTGGATACTCCATAGCAGTAGAGTATTTTACAATGAAGGGGTTTTTTTTTCTGTTTGTTTTTCTTTTTTTTTAAATGGAAGTGGTGTTTAGAAGATGACGAACAATGATGATTTTCTGACAATAATTTAGTTTAATTAGATTTTTTTAGCTTCTTGCTCAGGACATTTTCTCTTTAACACTGTAAAATGGTATTATCAATTAAACATTCTATAGCCTCATTCTGCTTTCAAATCCTGGTAAGATCAGTTTTCTAAATGTTATTGGTTAACTGCAAAAATATCTAAATATTTATCTCCATTAACAGTAAAACTTTCTGAAAATACTTGTGAAATATTTAAATAAAATATTTAAATAATTGAAAATACCTTATTGTTTTTAAAATATTGTAACAATTAGAGTGGTGCCTCTGTTCTGTTGAACACTTCTTACACAGCTACTGTGAGATACTGTTGGTATATTTTTAAGTTTACTCAGAATTCAAGGCTCAGAAAACAAGAAAACTTCTGTTGTTGAAATACAGCAATTAATCCCAGAATAGTTAGTAATCAACTATATCCCAGACAGTTTCCTCGATCTTCTTTCCAGTGGTAGAAGGTAAACGCATTACCTGTTTTAGATGTGTTTTTATTCAGTTCTTTCATCTTTACTGGTGGTTCTCTGTTGGAAAGACTTTCACACAGTAGGTCTAGGCTATTTTCATTACATGGTGCCCAGTACACATCTTCGGAGAAGGAAAGTAAAAGCTTACAGGCACATGGATAACCCCACAAATCTAAGTTTATATAAGTGGAAGACAAAAATAATGGCATTGGACAACTCAGTAAACAAAAATAGACATGACGATAGGGTATAGGGTTCAGGGGAAAAAAAAGACAAACTTTTGAATGCCTAACAACATAGGTAGGCTATTGTTATCTATTAAATATAAATTGAGTAGTATAAATGACTGTTATGCATTCAATCCTTGTGTCTGAGAGTTACAAGAAATACTGATTTTATAGTGCTCTTCACTACATGTTAGTTTCTTGAGTTTTCTATTATTTTAATAAAGAACTTTCTGTAATCAGATATTTATTAATTTTTTTGGTCTTTTTTCATTCTCCTTAAAAAATAATTGCATTTAAAAAAGGAATTGTGTAAATATTTGTCTTTTTTTCAAATAACTTCAGTGAACATTTATCAGAACCCTAATTTTTCATTGAAAAGGGGTTTTTCAATGAAAAATTTTGGTCATGTAATTCAAAATGTGGAATTATCATATGCAATTTGGACCTAGTCATAGAAAAGTAATAGAAATTTAATGTTATGTAACATCTATAGAATGTTATTATATTACATTCTAAAACCTAGTTATAGAAATTAAAATACAATAAAGAATCAATTCAGTTTTAGGAAATAGTTACCCATTTTCTTTGCCTTGATTTTGAGTGCCCAGTAGGAGATACATGAGTGTCCACTACCAACACTAAAACCAAAGGACATTCCAGATAAGTCTCTTTAATTTCTTTGAGAAGAAAAGTTTTCAGTGAGACAGGTCTGATGGAAGGAAACTCTGAAGCTGTCAGATATTGAGATTCAGGCTAGCAACTTCAGCTGGTAGACTGTTATTTCAAAACTTTTGAAAGCTTGGCGTCTCAATTTAAGTAGTCAAAATGAGCATGATGCAAAAAATAGTAGACACTTCTAAAATGTGTTTTTGTCAAACAAACCTATGATATTCTTTTCCTTATCTGTAAAACAATCCATCTCCAAAGTCTTGTGATGAGCATTCAGGCAAGTCAGTGCTGAAAAGTTTGGATCTATAAAAGTTTTCAGGTTTGTATGTGAAATTAATCTACTGGTAAGCAGAAGTCTGAAGTTTCACATGATGTCGGTCCAGTTTTTGATATAGAAATACAAACATAAATATGAAGAAATATTGATAATCATTACTATAGGATTCAATCAGATATTTTGTCCTAAAAATGTCAATTTGTGGTCATACATTTCAATGTGTTTTTACTTTCCAAAGTAATTGTACTGTATTTTATTTATGTATTTTAGGCACGGAAGGGGCAGTGTTTGGGCACTCTGTGGAGACACCCCATATCAGAGCAGAACCTTCCCAAGACCTCAAGTAGGTGGTGTTCAAAAAGTTGTTTTAAGATCAAGTATTCTCAAAAATAATTAAGTCTTAATTAAAAGCAAATATCTGTATAATAATATATACTGCCTACTCAGTGACTCATACATATCCAAAATACTGGTAGACTCCAATTTTTTCTTAGTTAAAAAACCCCCACAAACTTTTGTCACACAAAATGTATGATACATTACTTTTATAAATGACTTGCCTCCTGTAGCAGAATCCTTGAGAAGTATATTTTCCCCAGAGATTGGAATAGTCAGGTGTTTTTAAGGTCAAATGAGTATGGTACTGTTTAGTAGCATCATACCCAGATTTTGATTTTTTTTTTTTTTTATGAGCTGTTACAGAACATATAAGTCAAGTGAAAGTAAACAGTCCCAGATTTTTTCTTCAAGTGGTGTTTCTGGGTTGTTAGGTTTTTTGAATACTACACACACACTTCAAAAATTAATTGCCAAGTGAAGCTACATATGTAAATGTAAAAAATCCAAAGTTTTCTGTACATAGTCACAAAAGTGGAGAAATAAGTAAATAGTAAAAGATCAAGTCTAAGACTTACTAAAGCATCTACAGACTGGGAAAGAAAAAATTTAGAAAGGTTTATAGTGAAAGCTTTTTCTTGAAGTGCATGTATGTGTACTGTTAAATACTAATCTAATTTATATGGATGACTAATGAGAATATATGACAATCGCAGAAAATCAAAGGTCCTTCCTTGTGTTTCTTTCAGCAGAACTGGAGAGAAACAGTGTAGACTTTGATTCAATTCTACTATGATTCCTAAACATTATATATCTATCCCTTTACCTGCCCAGCAGTGTTTACAATGAATTGCTACAGAAAAACATTGTTAAATGCCCTTCCCTATATTTGCAAAGGCATTTAGGATCATCAACCAGTAATGATGTTGCAGAAATCATGTGCGGGAAGATGCCCACGTGGACAAGTTTGACCACTGTATGTGGGGTGTAAGAAGTAAATGATTGTGTTTGATTATTTACACTAAACATTTTAAGGTAATGTAATGATTCGGGGTCTTCCAGGGGATCCTACTTATTAGATTTTAATCTTAAAAATCCCTATCCCCTGCCAAGACTCCTGTCAGTCCTTTGTTGAGTAGTTGTAAAGGTATTTATTAGTGATGACCACCAAGGTGGTATGGTCTCTAATCAAAGGGAGTTCAGCAGAAATCAAAGTGGAAACATAACAAGCTTTTTTTTTTCAGGGGCCCAAAAATTTGAGTAAGAGGGTGGAACTTGTCCCACTCAAAAGAATGTGGAGACATTGCTTTGTCTACCTCTTTCTAATAATTAAATAAAAACACCAGAGTGCAAATGTATGGTAAAACAGATAACCCTGTGTCTTCAGATTCACTAGGGTTAAAATCACGTCATGTTGCTTGTGAAACTTAAATATTGGGCATTCACCTCTCCTGTCCTTTGGCTTTATTTGTTCCTATGATATCCATTGTTGCTTAATGTTTTTCAACTCCACCGTTCCTTCAGCTCATTTTTCCAAGGTGGACGTAAATTAGTGAGAATTTTCCATTCAACTTTCTGCCCTCTCATTAATAATGAACTTAACCCAAACTTTTTATTTAAAAAACTGATGAAATGGAAACCCTTGCTGTTTGGTCAAGCAGCATTAGCTGATGTGTAAGTGATTTTATTCTTAATATAGTCAGTCTATATTGTGTTCTGCAAGCTTTTGTACACATGTGCTCCTATATATTAGTTAGGATTCAGTGATATTCCTTTTTTAAAACTTTCAAGTCATTTTAAGCTTCTTAAAACGATGACGACTACTATTAGGACAGAGTTTTCTTGGCTTTTGGCATGAATCTTCTCGAGGGTAACCTGCAGACCCTTTTTAACTTTGTAGCTTGAAAGAACTATAAATAATTGTGGGTTTGTGTGATATCTTCTGACAGCAAAATACAGTTAGACATTCAGATCATATATATCCCTTTGAAAATTCCAGTTACCATATGCCTTTTAATCATATTTCAAATGATTTAAAAAAAAAAAACAAACAAACAAACTGTTGCTTGGGTTTTTTTTAAGTTCAAGACCTGCATTCATTTTCCCAAAAAATAAAATGGCTTTTTTTTGCTAATTTAAAAAATGTTGTCAGAAAGCAGTGGTTTATCGTTTAAATGTTTGTTTGCCAAATATGCCCAAACAAAGAGGTCACCAAACCTAATATGACATTTCCCTGTGGCCTCAGAAGCTACCTCTGTCACAGAAACAAAAGAATACCAGAACCCCTTTTCTGGCTTCAGGCCCAACTGATACAACTACATTGATATTGTAAAATCATTTTATCCTCTAAAACAGAATAGTTGCATCCTAAATGCCGAGTGGGAATGGTCTTTGACTCATGCTATCTTTCAAACAGTGCCTGCAAATTGTTTGGGAGAGTTGTAACTGACTCTCAATTGACTCTCAAATATGCCAGCAACTATTTAGCTGCATAGATGATTGAGTTCCAGTGGTCTGGCCTGGGTCCTACCACTTTTTAATGTTTTAGTATAAACTTAGCCAGTGTCCAGTAGATCATACTGGCAGTCCTAAAAAGATGTATTTTTACAAATGCCGCATCTCTGCGCCTTGGGACTTTTGAAATTAACGGTAACATGGGAGAGTAGAAAGTTTGCTGAGTTGACATTAAAGTTCATTTTTTCAGTGGACACAGGTGATTGCAGTATGACAGCAAGTTGCAGTGCATAAATGCAAATATCTTAGGCTATGAGAATACTTGTATACAGGGCTGAAATATAACAGAATTTACATTATATTTTTAATTAAAATATAAATGATCCCATATTTTTCATGTTGGAATATGTATTTGTGGTCAAGTAATAAACCTCAGACATCAAGATATGAGTATATTTAAGTAATACCCTTTTTTTTTTTCCCCCCTCCAAAAAAAAGATGCTGGAAAACTATTCATAACCTTGGATATGTCAAACAATTCACTACTGAATTTAAAAAGTGGAATTCTGACCACCTTGATTACTGGGAATGAAACTGAACTATAAAATTTGGACTAAGATTTTGATACCCACAAGCCTCATCGTGTTTGCCCCAAAAGTCCTGGGATTTTAACTCAATCTATTCTGGACAGGGAGCCAAAACCAAAAAGTCAGATTCATTTTAGCTTCACATATCTAAGTTTTGCCTCAGCCACTCTTTGTTCTATAGCCAGATTTTGAGGTCTTCACACAGAGAAACATCTGTAATATTTGCTATTAAAAATGTGTTGTGTAAAAATAAAATTCAGTTGTGATTTAAAATAATTCCTTCCTATATGCCCAGCCACTTTGGTCACATCTTTCTCCTGTCTTACATTTTCAAATAATAGCTAGCAAGGTTTTGCTTTCAGAAAATGTTTTTCTACAGTCCTTTGTGAAAGCTGGTAAGCCCTTTTGTGTCAAATCCCAAAAACTAATTAAATCTGACTTTCATTAGCTGGGATAAGCAGCATAAAAGAATCATGCCTTAGAATCAGGAAAATGAATTATATCTTAATAATTTAATCTTCGTATTTCTCTCGCTACTTTTTCTCACAGGAACACAGTTAGGAAAACTAAACTGCCAATATAATAGGTCCCCAAATATTTGTTTTAGGCTAATAGTGCATTAAAACATGGTGCACTAATAGGTAATATCCATGCACAGAAGAGGGTGACTAGTTAAATGCAGATAGCTTTGCCCTCAATAACCTCCTTAATAAGGGGGTAAATTAATTTGTTGTTCTCTGGAGATAACTGCAAGATCAAATTTAATAGGGTTTTTTTTCTTTTCTATGTCAAGCCCCACATACCATTGACTATCAGCTAATCCTGCAAGCTAATGCTGGGCATAATGAGATGAAAATTGATCAAGCGGCAAGGAACCACCCAAGCTAGTAAGATCCTACTTACCTCTGATAAGAATTAAAAATACACAGATCTTGCACAAGAGGACTCTTTCACTCAGAGTTGCCCGATGGTTTGCGAGAGCCATCTTTTTTTGGCATTTAACGGGTGGTTTAATAATAGGGCAAAATATCTATTCTATAAAAGCCTGGAGCCAGAGTAGGCATCAAAAAGAAATTTTGACATTAACTTGTTAGTCGTCTGAGCAGGTTGAGAGTAACAAAAGCACTGGGACTCTGCTCATCTATTTTACCCAGCAATCAAATAATAAACCAAACCTCATGAAAAGGGAGAAGATGCAGTAGAGTAAAAAAACCCAGCTTCCTTCCTATGCTATTTTAATGATGACAGGTTCTAGTTATTTTCTCAGTATTCTTTTTTAATAAAGTGGAAATATTTACTATTTAAGTTTTCAGAATTTGTATTTGGTGTTTAAATAGTTATTTCAGTGCTTGGGCATGTGTATTGACAGAAATTTCTTTGCTTAGTCTTATCCCTAGCTGTTAAAAGTATGATTTTTTTTTTTTAACATACATGTTCCTACAAAAATAGAGATGGGTGTAGTAAAAATGTGAAAAATTGCCAAAAATCAAGCTTCTTTTTTTACATATATATGCCTATATATATATTTTTTAAATTGAAATGAACAGAGAAGAAAGCTAGTAATAAAAGGTTATAATTACTATGCAGATAGAACACAGTAGGAACAAAAGGTAACTAGGTATGGCTCTTAAACTGAAAGAATAATTTGCTTTAGTGTTCAGTGATGATGATTATATTTGACATTGGAGAAGGGAAAAGGCTCTAGTAGGAACTGAGATATGAAGGAAAAAAAGTATTGCTATCACAATAGATAGCAAAATTTATTGAGTTTTGTGTGGTTAATTTAGCAGGCTGGATAATCTCTATTCCTGATCTGTGACTGAACTAAGTGTGAAAATAAGGTCAAATAGCCAAAATTTATAGTAAAGCTTTCAAAGTGGAAAACACACACTGTGGGGCTGATGGTTTGGCAAAGGTAACACGTATAGTGAAATAGATAGAAAAAATGGGTTAAAAGAGTCATCTA